GACCCGCACAACCCGCGACCGTATAAATTTTCACCCGCACCCGCCCCGCTTAATTTTGCGGGTAACCCGCGGGACCCGCGGGTTATATATCTTTTTAAAAAAATACTTATTTAATTTATTTTTTATGAAAAAGTAATAAAAATTATATATTTATAAAAAAATTATATATATTCAAAAATTTTAATTATTATTTTTAAAAAAATACCGTAATTTTTTTAAAAATACATTTATTTTTCCAAAAAAATACTATTTCTAACAAAAAAAACACAATTTAAAAAAAAAAAATGAAAAAAAAAAATTTTGCGGGTTGGCGGGTACCCGCGATTAAAAATTCACCAACCCGCACCCGCCCCGCATAAAATACTCAAAACCCACACCCGCACCCGCCAATCGATTTTTTCAAATTGTTCAACCCGCACCCGCCCCGCAGCGGGTCAAACAGGGCGGGACCCGCGGGTGATCACTCATATTCCCAGCTCTACTTAGATGTATTAAGCTGAAACTGTTGTGGCTTGGGGAACACTGCAACAGTCTAGAGACTGAGAGAGATACATAAAAGGAATTCTCCTGATATTTTCTTTCTCATGGAGACTAAGAATAACCTGGATATGATTAAGAAAACGCTGAACTGGCTTCCACTAGATAATTTTCATGAAGTTCCCCCCAACAGTCCTCCTGGTAGTGGAGGTTTATTTCTCATATGGAATAACAACATTCAGCTCACAGTTAGTTCCAGCAACAAAAACTACATCAACACACTAATCACGCAAAAGGGTACTACCTTCCAAATTTACCTTTGTCTATGGTGAACCGGACCATACCAAAAGATGGGCAGTGTGGAATGAATTATCAACTCTGCGACCTGCACCAGAGAACCCATGGTTTTTAACAAGCGACTTCAATGAAATTACGGACAACAATGAAAAGAAGGGAGGACCTGAGAGGGCTGAGGATACTTTTTGTGCTTTTAGATCCTTCCTCTCTGAGAACGATCTATTTGACATTAAGCACTATGGCAACTTCTTATCCTGGCGAGGAAACAGGAACTCACATACAGTTCAATGTAGATTGGATAGAGCCATTAGCAACAGTGAATGGATGAACGTCTTTCCCTCGTGCCGAAGTCAATATTTGAAATATGAAGGTTCAGATCATCGACCACTCGTAACCTTCCTAGACACGAGAAGAAAAAAAGGCCTCAAGCTCTTCAGATTTGACAGAAGATTGAAAGATCATATTGAGGTGAAACAACTGATCAAAGAAACGTGGGAGGACACGACTCACCTGAATGTTGAAGAAAGATTATCATGCTGCCGACGAGCTATTTGTAAATGGAGTAGAGAAGTTCATATGAACAGCAGGAAAGCTATTGATGCTCTCCGCATCCAACTGGATGATGCAATGTCGAACCCGGTTCCAGATGATGATCTGATTCACAGAACCAGCATGAGTCTCCTTGTAGCATATAAGCAAGAGGAGGCTTATTGGCAATAAAGAAGCAGACAATTGTGGTTAGCGTTAGGGGATTCTAATACTAATTACTTTCACGCATCAACAAAGACAAGAAAGGGGAAAAACCGTATGACAGTTATGGAGAATGATGATGGTATACCTTACTTTGAGGAAGATCAAATAGCGGATGTTATCTGTAAGTACTATGACAAGATCTTCACGGCTACACAAACATGCGACCTGCACATTGTAGATGAAGCGTTATTACCCTGTGTTTCTCAGAAAGTTAATGAAATTCTCATTAAGGAACCATCTACCTTGGAGATCAAAGAAGCTATTTTTGCCATACACCCTGATAAAGCCCCTGGGCCGGATGGGTTCTCAGCTAGCTTCTTCCAGGCCAATTGGGAGATTGTTGGTCCTGCTATCACCAAGGAAGTCCAAGCTTTCTTCTCCACCGGGATACTCAAACCCTCCCAAAACGTGACACACGTTAGACTGATTCCAAATATAGGAGGAGCAAAGAAAGTCGCAGACCATCGACCTATAGCTCTATGCAATGTCTTTTTTAAGATTATTTCTAAGCTACTAGCCCTAAGACTGAAGCCGGTTCTACACCAAATCATCCCAGAAAATCAATCCGCATTCATTCCAGGAAGAGCCATTACAGATAATATTCTAATTACACATGAGGTGCTCCAGTTTCTAAAGATGTCACAGGCGCAAAAACGATGCACAATGGCTGTCAAGACAGACATGTCTAAGGCGTACGACATAGTGGAATGGCGATTTATTGAAAAGGCCCTTCACCATCTGGGTTTTCATGCAAAATGGGTACAACTTATCATGCAATGTGTATCTATGGTCTCTTACTCCTGTTTGATAAATGACACAGTACATGGATCAGTAACCCCACAACGCGGTATCAGACAGGGCGACCCTCTATCCCCATACTTATTCATATGCGGCCAAGTGCTCTCAGGATTATATAAAAATGCTGAATAAGATGGTACCTTGCAAGGAATAAGAGTTGCTAGGGGGAGCCCAAGGGTTAATCACCTCCTGTTCGCGGACGATACCATGTTCTTCTGCCAAACCTCTCCTTCTAGCTGCGCTACACTAGTAAACATCCTTCGAGTCTATGAACTGGTGTCCGGACAGATGATCAACAGTGAGAAGAGTTCTATTACCTTTTCATCAAAAACACCAAGCGAAACCAAGGAACTGGTGAAAAGGGCACTTGGAATAACAAAAGAAGGCAGTTCAGGAAAATACTTAGGCCTACCTGAGAACTTCGGGAGGAAGAAAAAAGATCTTTTCACCGTCATTGTTGATCGTATCAGACAACGTGCTTCGAGTTGGTCCTCGAAACAACTTTCTAAAGCGGGGAAACTGACCATGTTGAAGTCAGTATTGACAGCAATTCCCACATTCACAATGTCCTGCTTCGAACTCCCTGTAAGTTTGTGTAAAAGAATACAATCAGCTCTTACGAGGTTTTGGTGGGACACCTCGGAGGGAGAAAGGAGGATGTGCTGGATAGCATGGGATAAACTAACTAAACCAAAAGCAGGAGGTGGACTAGGACTGAAGGATATACAGCTATTTAACTAAGCTCTCCTAGCTAAATAGGCGTGGCGAATTTCGACAAACCCGGGATGTTTATTAGCTAGAGTCCTCCTAGGAAAGTACTGTCACAACAAGGCTTTTATGGACGTTGAAATTCCTAAAGTTTGCTCACATGGATGGCGGAGCATTCTACATGGAAGGGAACTTCTAAGAGGAAAGGTGGGAAAGACAATAGGAAATGGGATATCAACTAAGGTGTGGAAGGATTCATGGATATCACTAGACAAAGATTGTTCACCATGCGGTCCTATTCAAGAAGGAGATAGGGACCTAACAGTTTCGGATCTCCTAACATCTGATATTAAATGGAATTTGCAAATAATTAATCAAGTGCTACCTCAACTGGCATCAGAGATTCAGCTACTGCAGCCAGGACATCCAGAAGCGGAGGATATTTATGTGTGGCAACCACTCCAGTCTAGGAAGTACACAACAAAATCGGGTTATTACACTGCAGCAATGATTGAGCAGAGACCAATCGAGATCAATTCTAACACCTTTGATTGGATAAAGGACATATGGAACATAAGATGCTCACCGAAGATGAAGCTCTTCCTGTGGTCTATAGCTCGTGAAGCTATTCCGTTGGGTGAACTTCTTCAGAAAAGAGGAGTCCAAGCAGAGTTGAAGTGCGTCGGATGTAATGAAGTGGAATCAACAATGCACCTATTCTTTAATTTTCCTTTTGCCCAAGAAGTCTGGAACAACATTCAACTGAAACATGTAGTTCACATAGCTACGGGTATGGACTTCAAGGAAGCTTTGGTTGCATTCAGGAAAGCGCTTTGTCTCCCTCCTTCAGGTATCTCCTCCCCTATATTACCGTGGGTGTGTTGGGTTCTCTGGACAGCGCGCAACACCCTAATCTTTGAAAAAAAAAAGGAGGCTATCACCTACAGAGACTGCGACAAAAGCATTAAGGTTAGCTAGAGAATGGAACAACGCTCAACTTCCCAAGCCGCTTGTTACTAGATCAAATTTCGTTTCAAAGCGGACACATCTGAACATGATAGCAAGGGAAGAAGTACCTATATGCAAATCGGATGCGGCCTTGAATCTACAATCAAAGAGAGCCGGACTAGCCTGGATCATCAACGACACATCAGGAGCAGCTCTAGTTAAAGGATCTACAACACAAAACTTCATCACCTCTCCCTTGGTAGCGGAAGCACTTGCTCTCCGTTCGAGACTCACCACTGCAGCGACTCTTGCGATTCCAAAGCTCAAGATGTTGTCTGACAACGCAACACTCATTAGAGCTATCAACAACGACACTCAGGCCAATGAAATCATTGGTATTTTCAAAGATATCCACCATATTTCCTCTGTTTTTTGTCGAGATATCCTTTTCTCACTGTTCTCGCGTTTTCAATGTGGAAGCCGATCTTTTGGCTAAACGCACTCTTTCATTGTCGTTTGTTTCAACCCTGTAATAGGCTAACATTGGGCCAGAGGCCTTTTCCTTATTTATTTAAAAGTTGGTGTTACAAAAACAAAACAAAAAAGTTATCTTTGAATGTTTCTGAGTCTCTGCTTCTTTGTCTCCAATTACATATTGTTGAAGCTCTGAATCCAACGATCCTTCAGTCTTCTCCTCCATCATTTGTTCCTTTAAAATACACAATGACAAGTTCTTCAAAATTGTGCAGTAGGGCTTATGAGGTTTGCATCATTCTGGGGGTCATAGTTAAACGTCTCTAAACCAGCTGTATCGTTTAACATATATTTGGGCTGATAAATGGGCCTTTGAGTCATAGATACATTATATAAATAGCGTATTTGGATACGAGAGTATAATTGGGCCTAAGCCCATTAGAGAAATATCTGTTTCAAATCTTTGAACGACGCGGTTCACGCGGCTATTAGCTGTCTTTACGACTCCTTATCCAACCAGACCAGACCACGCCAGTATTGAAACGAAAGCGAGTAGAATGTAGTAAGACGCGCCTAATATAGCGCGTGGGAGAAATCCGTAACCATCTTCAACGAGCTTTTAAGATCCATTTGAGTCAGTGAAAGTGGTGGAAGTGAGAGGAAAGCGTCCTTCTTACGTTTTGTTTAGCTTCAACAGAGAAAAAACAAAAGGGAAACACTCTTTTGAAAGCAATCATCTTATTTTCTATTTCAACGACACTTTCAACCAACACCTTGTTGTTGTTTCTCTCTTCTCTTTAGATCTCTTTCTTATTAGTCTTATCCTTTGGGTTTTGATTAGATATCTTCCGTTTGGTTTCAACACTTACTTTTCTTTCTGATCTGGGTTTTCAGTTTAAGTTGTTTGGTTGCAGGAACTGTTGAGTAGATCAGTTGATACCCATTAGAAAAGATAATAAACCCTTTTTATAGGTTTCTGTGTGGTTTTGTCTCTCTCTCTGAGAAATGGGTTCACAGGTGAGTCTATGTCTCTCTCTCTCTCTCTCTCTCCTTGTTCTTGATGGTATTGAATCGTATGCTGACTGTTCTGGAGAAGTTTGAAGAGATTTGGAAGGAATATAGAGCTTGTTGATTCTCTTTAGACTGTTCATGCAATTAGCTTTCGTGGAAGATAATCGATTGAGCTTGCTTGTAGCTTAGTTTTAGGTTACTACTAAGTTGTAAAGTATAGGTTTTGAAATAGTTCAATGTCTTAAAACTTTTCTTTGCTAAAACCCCTTTTTCTTAAAAAGAAATTGTATAAAGTTGTTGTCAAATGTGTTTTTAATTACATTACTTCTAAAACAATTGTTTTTTTGTATGTGTTCGAATTTTAATTCACCTTCACTGTGTTGTTATCTCTTTTTCAGAGCTCGGATAATGCAGATAACTGAAGTAGATTGAAAAGAAACAACCTTTTCACTTTCAGGGGTTTTTGTCTAGTTTTCTTTAGGCTTTTGGTTTGGTAGAGAATTGAATTAAGAGTTATGAGAAGAGGTAGAGGGAAAGGCAAGAGGCAGAATCGTGGAAGCGGTGAGGAAGAAGAAAAGATTCCAGCTTACAGGAGAAGAGGGAGGCCACAGAAGCCGTTGAAAGATGAAACCGAAGAAGAAGAGTTTGTGGAGAAGGATGATGATACAAATGGTTCAGTAACAAGTAAAGAAGATATGACAGAGAATGGGAAGAAGAGGAAGAAACCATTAGAAGAGTCTAAAGAGAGCAATGTAACAGAAGAAGAGAATGCGTTAGGGTCAAAATCAAGCACTGATGATTCAGTTAAGTCATCATTGTCTATGGGGTTTAGGCAGATTGGGAGTAGAAGGAAGAACAAACCAAGACGAGCTGCTGAAGCTGTTGTTGAATGTAATGGTGTTTGAAAAAAAAAAAAAGGTTCTTAAAAACGCTTTTTGAAACCGCTCATTTTGTTTTGTTTTTGTTGATTTGAATCATTTTTGTCGTTATGACCTGAGTTTGATGCGGTTGCGTTTTGGTTTCATACATGGAATCAATTTTTCTGAACTGTGCACTTTGTCTGAGTTTTCATGTCGTTTTGAAAGAGAGTATATAGCCTACAATACTTTTAATGGCTACTAGATCATAACCCACCCGATTAGACGGGTCTTTATTTTTATGGTATATAAATATTCTAAAAACTACAATCTTACGATTTCAATTTTACTAAGTAATAGTATATTGTTTAAACATTGTATTTCATCATTGTATTGTGTAACATAAATTCGGTAAAATATTGTGACCGTAAATATTTAGTAATATTTTATAAAGTTTTGTTTTGACTAAATTTGGTGTAAAGTTATATACACTAAAAATTTAGTCAAATTTTTAAGTTTATTTTTAATGAAAAATTGGAAGGCTAGTATATTGCTGTTAGAAATTTATAACAATAGTATTTATAATTATATAAATAAAATATATATTATTTTTGATTTATTCCAAATACATCTAAAACACGAGTACATATATGTATAAATAATTTTCAGAAATAAATTAATATCAATGATAGTAAACCCAAAAACAATAATAATGGTATTTTGGGTCACAGTAATCTAATCTATTAAGACTGAAGTACAAATAGTATTTACCCCTTATAGTTGCACAAAAATTACAATCTCATGCCACTGAATTAATATTTCCATTTTTAATTAAAATAAATCAGAATAAAACCAATTTGATGACTAAAGCTTTTTCTTGCACAAACCGATATCCCTTCACAAACCGAGATACAACTACGTTATTATCCGTTGCATTTAACCTGTTTTCATAACAATTGTGTGTAGAAAATAAATTTGATTAATCAACTATTTTCTTTGACAAACCAAGAAAACCAAAAACTATAATCATATTGAGAAATAATTGAAGTACTTACCACGCTCTAAATCAAAAACCAATAAATACAATCATACTGATAAATAGATAACCGAAACTTGATTGTAAAGTCTGAGTTATCCAATTGTAAACCGGATTATTAATTAGATCATGCTTCATATAATCCCAAAGATTACGACCTATACAAATAGAAAAATATTTCAATAACAAGCTTATTGCCCACGTAAATTTCGTGAAAGTTAATAACTGCATTGCCTTATATTTTACATTTGTAATTATTCCTAAATATTCTTAAAATTCTCTAACGTGGATCAATATAAGGAATATGCCCAATAAATCTTCAACATTGCAATAATTAAACCTCAAACTACGGTACAAGGAAAATATTGTCATAACAAACACGTATATGCCTATCCAAAAGTATAAAAACTAATTTACATAGCTATGCCGTTTAATTTAGATCTTGACCGTGATTAGCTCCATAAAATCTAGCTATTAAATACAAAATCATATATTTCATATTCTTTAGCGTATGTCTCTATATATAATCTCCTCTTTCCCTTGCTTTTTTATGTTTAGAACATCGAAAAACAATGTGGCAAAGAAGCAAAGTTTTTTTTCTTAACGACGTGAAACTCTACAAAACCAGTTGGCGAGTCCAGTACACGTGAAGTGTCTTCACTCATGGAAATCAAACACCAATTTTGAAGGCTAATCTCTTGAATGCATTCTTTCACAAGAACAAGTAAGTTTAAAGTGTCTACATATAATTCACGTGTCGTTTAATCTTAATACAATATTAATCTCTAAGCATACAACCAGAATATATTTATGTAAGCTATTTTGTCATGTTTAGGATGGAAAAAATCATGCTTCTGCCAAAAGAAATCAGATGCAACACAATCTCCCTATTGGAGAATGGAGATTTATCGAGAACTTTACAGTTTCTAAAGCTGGAGGTTCAAGTATGCATCTTTAAGTTCTAGATATATCAATACTTTTTGACCATCTCTTTTTGTTATTAGTTTTTCAAATACAGTCATCCAAGTAAATAGAGATATGCAACCAACAATCTTAAGCTAAACAGAAATGATAAGGCCATATTGGTTTGCAATCCTAATTCTTAATTGCTTTCTNTACTAACCATCTTTTGGTCCTGATATTTGCCAAGTATATACTTCATCGGGGTAGCCTCCAAGAAATTGATGTCACTTCTACCACAATACAATTTCATGCAAAAAAATATCGTGGTAAATCATAGACATTCATCTGTCATACTTTAAAACATAATCATCCCTGAAATATGTTTTGTATAACAATTAACAGAACATTAAACTATAAAAGAAGGATATATATTTATTAAGTATTCCAATATGCAAGTAACCAATGAAAACTAAATAGAATAATGGTAACAGATTATTCAAACATGAGAAATTTTACTAAAACTCACATACTTATGTTAACTCTAAGACAATAATTAAAGTAAACCCAATGAAATACTTAAAAATAATCAGTCATAAGCCAATCTAAAGACATCATTTGATCAATATTAATTGCGCTTCCTACTAGAGTGACTAATAGGGTTACTGTTGCTTGGTTACAGCAGGAGTTAAGCTTCAATGGAATTTGTAAAATATAAAGCACAAGGTTAATAATAACACGGCAAGGGTCACATGAGCTTGAATATCAAACGTCAATTGGCCCGATCTATGTAAACGAACTGATTTTAGAAAACTAATCTTAACAAATCTCTAAGATTACACAGACATGCATAACATAAACCCGGTTTAGAATAAAATTTGTATAAGAATTTGCCTTGATTAGTTTAAGGGGTTGACTCAAAGCCATTCGGATCATCAGCTAATAAACTCTGAAATAAAAACTTTTGGTTTCTTTTCTTTGTACATCATGCCAGACACAACATCATTTTTAAATATAGCATTAAACAGAACTGAGACAATCATGTCAATCCGACATCTCTAACTGACAATAGTCTATGATCTTCATAATTAATCAGAACTATAACAATGAAGCCAATTTGTGAACTCATTCCATCATACTATATAGCTAACGACTTTGATTTATGATGGATTCAGAACTATTAGAATTGTCTTGCAAAGAATAAAGACCTGACATCAAGACGAAGTCCTGGAAATTAGTACTTGCAAACTGCGAACAAAGAAGAGCTTATACTGATTCGATCCACAATCTGTAACATGCAAGACGTTTTTTCTTCTTGATTAAACCGGGGATGGGCTCTAACACATAATANACTATTAGAATTGTCTTGCAAAGAATAAAGACCTGACATCAAGACGAAGTCCTGGAAATTAGTACTTGCAAACTGCGAACAAAGAAGAGCTTATACTGATTCGATCCACAATCTGTAACATGCAAGACGTTTTTTCTTCTTGATTAAACCGGGGATGGGCTCTAACACATAATATAGATTAGAAAACAACTTATCATAAAAAATAAATTTCAATTGGTAGTAATCAATAGATATATATTCTGTAATCCTTTGAGTGAAAACTTCACAGGAGATTACGAAGATCTCACCAGAAAAAGTGCGGTTGAAAAAAGTCGTCGAAGTAAAACATGTTTCTGTTTTTTCTTGCGGAAAAATACATATGGGCCTCAATTTTGATCGTAATAGTCCACTATTTTTTTATAAAATATGATGTAGCAATTTCGAGTTATACCAAATAGGCCCAATTCAATGTATTTGCACTTGCTAAATGTAATTGCTATAAATCTTTACTTATTTTAAATGTTATTTGTGTTACTTTCCAATTAGTTTTTATTGTTACTGTCTAAATAATTTAAATTTTTTTAAAAAATGTTACAATATAAATTCAAATATAATTTTAATCACAACATTAATAGTATCATATGATAAACACACACAAAAATTCTACTGTACCAAGTAAAATAAAAAAAAAATACAATAACAGATGAATACAATCGCCTAGAATAAAAGTATACGATAAACAAACTGAATAAGATACACTAATGTCACAGCTCAATAAACAATAAATCAGTAACTTTAATGTTTTTACAACTAACAAAAAAATATAATTAGGTAGAATATACACCCGTGCGGACGCACGGGTCAAAAGCTAGTTTTTAGTTTAATAAGCAAGCACATAGGATTTGTAAGCTATCATTAGATTTGTAGGTTATGTTTTTTTTCAATTATCATAATTTTAAATACTTCCGATTCATGTTTCCAAACACTTTAATAGTATAGATCAAAAAGTGTACTTGTCAAAGTTTTTATAATAACATTTCGCAAATGAAAATAAAGGAAAGGATAGATTGTGTACAAACATAAAGCAAAACACAAAAGGAATAGAATCCAACTTATACACACAACCCTATGTAAATGAAAGTACATAGATTATGATGGTTACATGACCATAAATCGAACTTCCCATACTCTCAAATATTTTTTGTTTAATATATCAAGAAAGATATTGCGCTGGATATTGTTTGAAAGAACCAATTCTAAATTGCAAAAAAAAAACGAAGTAACAAAAAATATACTTTAATTTTGAAAGAGTTCAATAATAACCCACTAGTTCCCTTGAAGAGTCACATCCTTAGTTGAGTCCCAACACTCTCTGTCTCTCTGCCCATAATTATATTTCTTTCTACTTTAGTATTTGTATAATGAGTAAAATACTACTAATAAACTATTACCATTGTTTCTGCTGTTCTTTAATTAGTAACATAGTACAATCAGCTACTATTTTTATACTTATTAGGGATGCACAAAATACTACAATACAATCTAAGTTCTAACCATCCATTTATAGGTAGGTATGTGGCCAGTTCATAGTTTTACAAACTACAATAAAGGTCAACATTTTAACATCATTAAAGTATGTTCCTAGTTTTAAGAGAACTATATAAACTCCTATGTTTCTAAATTTTAAGAAAACTATATCTGATACAAGTAAAAATATATTGTTATTTATGTAGTTATAGAATAAATAGGTAGACTATACATGGGAGTTAATTATATTATGTTCCCTGGTCTCGTTTAAGGATATCATTGTGTACGTTAAAGAAGAAAAGAAAATATTCTAATCTCTTTTGTGTTTTTGTAATTGTTCGTTACAAAACGCACCAAACCAAAACGCAAATGCTTAACTCCTTAGCTGGCGTGGCCTAGTATCAATCACTCCTGAGTGTCTCTTCTTTTGTCAGCTTCTCCCACTCTCTTCTCTCTTCTCTATTAAAAGATAGCAACAACTAAAATAAGCAAAACCACATTTTCTTTCCTTTCTTCTCATTCCTCCTTTCTATTTCCAGGCTCAGTACTTACCAATGAGCTTTTAGCATTTCTTTCTCGGTCTGAACAAGAGGAAACAAGAACCATTAATCATGGAGTTACTAATGGGTTCGGGTCAGAACCGGACTGAGACGGTTGGCTACTCCTCCACAGAGTCATCTTCACTTACTACTGGACTCAGGTTTGGTCAGAAGATCTACTTGGAGGATGGATCCGGATCCGGCAGGAACCGGGTTAACACGGGGCGTAAGTCTATTACAGCTAGGTGCCAAGTGGAAGGTTGTAGAATGGATCTAAGCAATGCAAAAACATATTACTCGAGACACAAAGTTTGTTGCATTCACTCTAAGTCATCTAAAGTCATTGTCTCTGGTCTTCAACAAAGGTTTTGCCAACAATGTAGCAGGTTTTTGCATCTTTCTTTTTTTTACTATTTTTGAGTTTTTTGGTTGCTTTTTTTTTTACTATTTTTGATCTTTTTTTTTTGTTTGCTTTGGCTCTTAACGTCTTTGAAGAGTCTTTATAAAACTTTACAGCTTTGTTATGATGTCATCTTGTCTCTTGTCTCTAGGGGATATAATAAAATGAATTATTATATATGTTGCTTTTCATTGAAGCCTTCTTTTCTCTTTACATCATTCAGGTTTCACCAGCTTTCTGAATTTGACTTAGAGAAACGAAGTTGTAGAAGACGACTTGCTTGTCATAACGAAAGAAGAAGAAAGCCTCAAGCAACAACCACTCTTTTGACTTCTGGTTACTCTAGAATTGCTCCATCTCTTTACGGTTAGATCCCATTTTCCTCAGCTTTTTTTAAGAACATACTATCTTTTCAGCTCCAAGAGCCTTGAGAACAAGTTCTTGATTGGTGACAGGAAGCGTTTTGGGAGGTCCTAGTAGTACGTGGTCAAGCGCAAGATCTGTGATGGGACGATCTGCACCGTGGGATAGCCATCAACTGATGAATGTCTTCTCACAGGGAAGTTCAAGCTTTAGTATAACATGCCCAGAGATTACTAACAACACTATTAGCACAGACTCAACCTGTGCTCTCTCTCTTCTGTCAAACTCAATTCAGCAGCAGCAGCAGCAGCTTCAGACATCAACCAATGCTTACTTGATGACTGCAGATAGGGTTACAATGGCTCAGTCCTTGAGCCAAACTTGGGAGTTCATGTCAAGCGAAAAGAGCAATTCACAGTACATGTCACCTCTTTTGGGACAGAGTCAAAGCTCTGAGCCAGATGATTTCCAGATGAGCAATGGCACCGCAATGGGTGGATTCGAGTTGTCTCTTCATCAGCAGGTTATGAGGCAATACATGGAACCAGAGAACACAAGAGCTTATGACTCTTCTCCTCAACATTTCACTTGGTCTCTTTGAGTCTTTTCTCGTTTTTTCTGCACCAAGAGGCTTACCTGTGGAAGGTTACTACTAAGACTGGATAGTCTCAAGATCTTATCACATTATATCTGTCCTATGCTACTTAAAACCAGACAGTGATGCCAGATAATGGCTTCCAATTTGGATATTATTTTAAAAGGTGCTGGCTCTTGATTTTAAGCCATATGTGTTTGTTAAGTGATGAAATCTTTGTTCACATTCAACACAAACAGAGATTAAAAACATCATCATCACTAATATATATTGTTAATAGAATCAGAGTTAAACATCATTTTCTAAACCCTACTATCAATGAAAGCATGACTAATCAGCATGTCGTTACCTGCTTATGCAACTGCAAATAGTGTGTTTCTGTTTCTTGCTTCCTGTTCAACCACACAATTCAACGAGGGGAATATTCAACATGACATGAAGCTTCTGCAGAAATGAATTGTGTTTCACATCGTTTCCTACTGATTCACATACTTAAACCAACTCAATACATAGCATTGAAGAAAAACACTGGTGAACTTGTCACCCTCAAGAACATAAAGAACAATGTTGGCTCCCAACTGCTAGCCAAGAACAAGAGAACATGGCTCTTCAGTGATCTTCCTCTTCTTCATCAAGCTTTTACTCCTTTCTCTTCTCTGCAACAAATTCACCATTTGAAATTTTTATGCAGTACCCACCAAGAGATCTCACTCAGCTATCAATCTTAATTCCAATAAAGGCCAAGTTTTCAATCTTGTATAAAGGTGAAAACTTTGTCCTGAGATTACCTTTCTTTTGCAAGTCTGGGCATGTTCATGTGGGAATGAACTGAGATGAGATAGGTCCTCCAAGTAGTCATCGTTTACTTCTTCATCATCCTATTTCTCGCCGATTCTGCCATTGCCGACGAGCTTGCGACGACGACAAACTGGGAAAAAAGACAACAAAAAAGTAATTGTTAATGGGCTTTATAATTAGGCCCAATATGGATCTAATTTGGACATTCACTCTTGTGCTGCTGATACCCTTATAAATTATCCTTGTTTATTCATCTCCAAGAACACAGTATTGGCATATGCACCATCAAATTATCATTTTTTTCAGGATACTCAGTATTATTTATAGAAAAAAAGTCGAATTCACTCGGAATCATTCTCATGTAATAAAAATAATTTGGGCAAACCTAATGACTAAAGCCGATTGTTGAACAAGAAGGTTATTTGGGCTTACTAAGATTAAAATATTATTAGACTTAATATTGACGGGTTGAGTTAGACCCATGCAGTAGTACAATGCATGGACGACTCATGAAAGCCCAGATAGCAAGCTATCTTAGCGGGCTTTCTCCCTAAAAAAATAGAGTTAATATCGTGTGGACCGATGGCCCACATATCAGATATTAAACTGATAAGAACATATACTACACTTGATCTTAGCCAAAAGGCCGAGAAAGGTATATATTGCAAAGGAGGCTCGGCTTTCTTTTTATACTACATCTCATGTCTTCAACTCTTGCTTCGTTACCGATGTGGGACTTTGAAAGTGTATGATAAAACAAAAGACTCTCTCTGTCTCAGCGGGTCTCAACCACACTTAGCCGACAATAACACTAGACTTAGACCTAAAGCCAAACAACCCATAAGTATTCTTCTTGTTCTTTTTTTTTGTTCTTCCTTACCTTCTACAGATCGAAATAAAAAGAAGCCAAGTTTCTCAGAAATTTCATTCTAGTGGTCAGATTCTCATCCTGAATTAATCTTAGATCGTTTTGATATCTGTTAATAGACTCATATTCATTCGATCATTCTATGTTTTTACTTCATTGTTCGTCTGGAGTTTTGAGTTTGATCATTGCCCCCGAACTAAGACCAAGACCAGAATATAATAAAAAAAAAAACAACTTTGCGTTATATGTTATTACAATTCAAGGAAGGACATCGTGTTCTGTCTCAAAGATGAGATTTTGAGAAATAGGACAAAAACGAGGGATTTGAATTTCAAAAAGAAACAAAGATTAAACATGACCAAAGCAAGAAGAAAGAAAATAATAATAATAATAATAATCTAAAGGAGTGTTATGTGCAGATAACTACAAATCAGACTGGTTTTTCTTCTTTCTTCTTCTTTTTTGGTGGTTTCTTCACTAGCAATTTGCCAAAATGATTGATAGATCTCTACAGGAACGAGACATCTTCAACTTGGTTTATTGTTAGTCACCTTGTAGGCAGTAGAGTTGTCTTATGTTTCCACTTGCTGTCATATTCACACCAGCAACATGGAGACAATCAAAAACCTAATTATATATGATGCACATAAACTTTTTGAGTAGGGGGATTGAACTCGAAACTTCTTACCATAGAGCCAGTCTTTGAAATACACATGTAATGCGCTTGATAGCTCATTTTCTGGTTTTCTTCCAGAGGTGTTTCTCTTAACGATCGTCTTGTTTCTTCAATGTTCTTTAGCTGATGGAATCAAAAGCCGAGGAATTAAGGAGATGCAAACAAATGCTTCATGATCTTACTAAAGGAAAAAAAAAAACGTAAGAACATACGTTTCTTTGCTGAGCTGCCATGTAAGCATCTGGCAATGGATTGTGTTGGGTTGAACCAATCTCTTCGCCGCTAAACCAGTTTGGGATCTTCATCATAGCCATTGATACCACATATAAAACATGTGAGTAGATGATTCATGAACAGCATTTACCAGTAATAATGGTAAAAAATTAGACTAACGAAAAGAGAGTGTACCAAAAAGTTAATGAACTAGTCAGGGTCTACACAGGCAGCTGATTCAGCTTGTGCATCAGAAACACCGGCAGGATGCGACAGCGAGTCATGTGGATCTACTGCTCCTAGTGTCAATGGTTTTCCCATTTGTTGATAGTTGGCTCCAGCCCTACCTCACTCAAATGCTCCTCCAAATGAGAGTAATATGTATTATATGGTGCGACCTGGAACAAAAGCACACATAATTTTTAGAAGTCTGTAATTACTAGAACCACTAGATAACAAACATTTGTCTTGTATCATCAGTAATAAAACATAACCTTTGACACCCTCGCGAACCACTAGGCTAAGACGCAAATATTAGTGAATATACTCGTTTATTAATGAAATGGATAACACCTTGAAGACGATTCCATTAAAATCAGTTCACATGTCCAGAAAAGCAAATCAACCAAACTAATGCGCTAGTAACTCGGTCATTGTGAAGATATACAACTTCTATCTTAGAGAAAGAGGCCTCACATGCAGTTTGTGGTTATCACCAATAATTAGAGGTCGCTGATTGACTCCCAAGAAGAATACACATTCACGACAATTGGCTATGCACACTCGTTTGGCAACTGTAATCACATGAACTCTCTCACAGTGCTCAACTCTTAATACCTGCAAAAAGAAATCATAAAACAGATGATCAGCATATTTTAGAAAGAGTCGGTAGATATTATAACATGTTACGGAAAGGATTATTGTGTCGTACCTTGCCAACAGCTCCCAGAACTATAGTAGTATTCGAACATCCATGGACTGTTTCATATCTCAATGGCGCTAACAGATAAATAACAGAATCATGGCAATTGACAACCTACAGAATACACATAACATATCATTCAGATGATTGCACAAGACTACTTGACGCATGTCCTTTGAAGCATGGAATAATCCAGCCATATTAAAACGCAAGTCATTTGTTCGCAGCGAACCTTCACAGATCTACCCCTAAGATCGGCGGCCTGCTTAACAAGTGAAGTCTTGGACACTCCTTCGATTAAACACGGGCCTCTACCACTGGGTGCAACCTTGTTTGAAGCAACACAAGCATTTGACATCGCATCATCTTGGTCAGAGATATTAGAAGGCCCGTTCTCTTTCCCAGAAGTTCTCTCAGTAATGCTTTCCAAAGCAGAAGCTATGTTTAGCAGAAGCCAGTCATGCACTTGGGAAGCAGAGACTGGAACAGCGGGCATATCCGGATCAGAATTTGCAAAAAATGGAGTAGCTTGGCTCAGTGGAGATAAATCGGTTCCCTTATCACCAAACTGAACAAGAAAACCCAAGTGCTCAAAAGCCTCCATCGAGATAACCTGAAGGATGTTAAACAAGCAAGAAAATTAATCTTTGAACAATCACGAAATTAACATCTAGCCTGAGACTCAATTTCATGCTCTGTAGAAACAGTGACTCTTCACGACAAAAATAAAGAAAGACTAGGACATACCAACGATTCTTCTCCTTCTCCTTCCACAGGCTCTCCAAGAAGAGAAATGATGTTGCCTAAATGTTTTTGCAGATATGACAATTGATGAGCTTCATCATCTGCGTGCGATGGCATAAACCGACGACTGTTGCTGCGCACAAGCTGCATAATGATCAAAAGGAAAATATAACTAACACTTAAGACCATGTTATGGGAAACAAATAGCACATCGAAATAGGATGAAACACTAATAAAACCTAAAACTAGATGAATGTATTCTAAAAGACACCAATAGATCAGCCCTACCACAAACATTAGTGAGAACGTCAGAGGAATAATACATATCACATAATCACCGAATAGACCAAGTGGAAGGACTAACCAAAATAATGTACAACGAAAAAGAACCAGAACTTCAACAAGCTGACAAACGAATGACATCTAGTCCTCAATCAAAGAGGGACTAGCAATTATGAGATGATTAAAATGAACCTGAACCAGAATGTTACCCAAAATGCGTAAATACATACTACTTAAAGCATGTGTCCATGCCCGAATGTTTCAAAACACCAATAATATGATTTTAAGTATCAAGTATCTCATACTGCAGCAACACTAACAATGACAGCATTCTTAGACAACATAACTTCAAATACATTTGGTTTTACGGCAATTCCTCCACTACAAAATAACTAACAGTTTCATCGTATGTTAAACTATAAGTCAACATGGATTAAAAATAGCACCTTCGCCATTGAATATTATTACGAAGCTATATCTAATACAATACATCCCCCATGAAACCAACCAAACTTCCAAGTACATAAAGCCAAAAACTTTAACTTGCATTACAAACCATACTTGAATTCAACTCCATTTCCATACTATATAGACCCTTGGATCATTGCATATGAATTTATCCATATTAAATAACTCGAAAACTTGCCTGAATAGGGGACAAGGCAGATAAGTAGCCATCAAAAGCAGGATGGCCACACATCAGCCACCACCGCAGAGTCCTTATGCGTCCTTGGCATCAAATTCTTATACAACTGAATATACAAAAA